CCAGTACTGCAATACTGATTAGATCAGAGCCCAGCATTTCATACCTGAGGTTAGAATTGTTTTGATGAAAACAGAAGCAAGTCATTTAGAGCTTTTTTTCTGGGTAGGCTTGGGAAGCAATGTTCCATGACAGTCAAGCTGTAATTTTGCAATTTTGACCTTTATGTGATTTAACAGATTTTAGGAACAGCTTATTGCTCTTTGAGGACATCAGATGGCACTGTGTGGTTGCTGGTGAAGCCTAGAAGAAGCTAAAGTCAGTAACGAGCGTATGTGAAATCCATACACGGGGGTGCTAGTAAAAAATTACTGTATTTGTGGCCTACATAGGGGATATAGGTCAGCAATAATAGATGCTGTAACTCTGTCACATGGTAGGAATCCACATCCACTAGCTCTTAAGAGCCAGATTTTGAATTCCTCTTATAAATCATGAGAAGAAAAGGGGGGGAGAAGTCTTCTGGCTTTCATTTTTATGCTGGAGGGAAAAAAAAGGTTACAGAGTAAAATAAAAATATAATTTTTTTTCTCGGTCATGATGCAAATGTAGGTCAGTCCAACATTGTTTCCTTCAGTGACCCTAAATACTCAGATTTACTTTTATTATACTAGCGCCTTTAATGTTTCAAGTGTAGGCCTGTAAGCAGCTTTGTTCACCAGCATGGAGCACAGGTGATGTGTAAAGGACCTGTGAAATTCATTCTTCTACTACCATCATCCTGAGTTAATAGCATTAGGAGCTAATCCTGGAAGTCAGGAGGACAATGTGGAGTGTATTTTTCCAAAGCAAATACACTTTCCATTATTTTTCAAGAATTTTTCTGGCAACCAGGTTTCCTCTGATTGCTTAAAAAAAGTACAAGCAAAATATTTTACAGATCTAGGTTTTATTGTGAAATACCATTACATTTTTTCTCTGTCTCCTTTAATGTCACTGTAAGTTCCTGTGCCGACAAATAGTATCAGCAGGTACCAACAGTTATTGGGTAGGTTCTGCTTAGTTTATTGAGGCTCTGGCCTCTCAACTAATTACAAAATATTCAGCAAATATTTGAGTGTATTACTTATCTCATTCCCACAAATAAGTGCATCTCTGTTTAACAAATGGAGTTCACTGCTCTTGCCCTCAAGGTAAAGCATACATTGCAATCTCTCCTTTGCAGACAGTCTGAAAACCAACCTTTCCTAAGTGAATCAACAGTTGAAAATTATCTCTGTAAATCAGTAAAGGCAGAGAATTTGCCATCTTGCATCTAATAACCCTCAACAACTCAAAGCTCAATAATGATGTTTAACAGATCCTATCTAACGCATGGTTTGGGGCTTTGTTGTATTTTAGTAGATTTTTAGGACATTGAAGTGCAACATCCTGTGCTCTGGGACTCAGAAAAACCTCAGCTGTGACAAAGCAATAAAATATCCAGACTTTTGAACTATATTGATTTTATTCCTTTATGTCGCATTTTTGTTGTTTTTAGTGATATGTTCTCTCTTAAGTCCTTAAGATTTGAATGAAGTTTAAATAAGGTCTTTAATGTATGGAAATAAATAAGCACTAACCAGAAACACTATAATATTTTTTAAAAAAAAAATAATAGCTTGTTCATTATTTGGCTAATGGATATGAGGTATTTTCAGAAGTACTTTAATGATGAGGTGCCTTGATTTTTGCTCTTTTTAGTTGTTAAATACTTTTTGAAAAGTTGTGTGTAATAATATTTTAAGTCAAAATAAGAACTATGTATTAAAACAGTGATGCATTGGCTCGATTAAATAAAGCCCAAACCTTGGTTATTCTTTGCAGAAAGCAGAGAGAGTCTTTTACATTCTATATTCTATAGAAAAAGAGCTGGAAAAAATGGCCACCGGAACACGAGTCGCAAGCCAAATTACTTTTAGCAGTTGTGCATCAATGTAGTTTCCCTGCATAGATTTCACAAAGTACAATACCCCATCATTATTTAAGAATGCATTCTAAAGCAAGTGACAGTATCTCTTCTGCATTCACAGTATGCATACAGCACAATATCTCGTGAATTCTTTCCAGAATGGAAAGCCATTGCTGACACGCAGCGCAACTGAGAGCTGGGTTTTGCTGACTCACAAATCCACCAGGCGTTCCACTTCAGGAGGGGTGAGGAAGAAGTCTATTGCACAGAGTGGACTATTGGATTGGGGAAAAGTGTCACCGCTTCCCTTTTGCACAAGTTTTGAATATTGAAAGAGAAAGAGAAAGATGCGCTACAAAATGTTCGGTTTTTGTTTTCACTTTTTTTGTTTCTGTTTGTAAAGCAGTCAGTTTTATAGCACACTAGCAACATAGTTTCAATACTAGACAGCTGTTTAGTTGTCTGTTTCTCATCCTAATTGTCACCTGCTGATTGACTTAGCTAAGTGGATTGTGCTCACTAATCTGTATGACTTAACAGTAGTACAAGCAGGGTAATGCACATTGATGATGGCTTGCAAAGGAAACTAGGCAATTTTTTTTCAGTATTGCTTTTTGGACTTTCAGCATTTATTTTTTGTATTTATTTTTAGGTAAGAAAATCAACTGGAGTAAAAAAAAAAAAAAAATTCAAAGCAAGCACTGAACATTTATGTTAAAACAACAATAAAACCCCACTGGAAGTGTTAAAATAGATCACTGCAGCTTTTCTGACATGGTATAGACTGATTTTTCAAGTTAGACTCTTAAGGCATGTAATCATTACTTTTAAAAAAAGTTGTTTTTCCAAGACAGCTGTAAGAACACTGTGATATTCAAGAACTAATTTACAAACACAAGCTTATTTCTTCTGAGTGGTATTTCTGAGGGAAGATTTACTATGAATAATGGGAAGGTGTCGGATAAACTCACAGCGGCTGTTTGACAAAAATACTAATCAAAATTGAGTTGAAGTAAGTTCTTTTGATCAAATAATGATTCACCTTTACTCAAAAATCAAAAAGAAAAAAGTAAACTGACTTTGAGAACTGTTCCTCTTGCCTGTGCTACACGAATTGTTCCTCATTTGTTGCCAGATTAGCAAATAAGACTTACTGGAAAAGACTAAAAAAATGTCCAGAGAACCAACACAGTCGAGTTATGCTGGGCACGTCTCGGGGTACAACTAGGTCTCTAGCACATTTGTTTGGTAAATGGGTCAGCTATTTTTGCTGCCTGGACCAACCAAAACAAAATTGTATCAAAGGTAGGAAAAATACTACATATCTATTCCACTGATAATACACATTGTTTTCAACTTAATGAAAAGCAGGAATAAGTTATTTCCAAGGTAAAACCACAGAAGAAAAGAGAGAGGGAAGTGAAGATATGAAAGGATTAATTATTCAAGGCTATATCGTGATCATGTAATCAATAGAGCAAACAAAAAAAAAATTTAAATATTTACATCGTCTTCTAAAAACTACAAGAGGCTGTAAACAGAAATAACAACTAGGCAACACCTATAAACACAGTGTACAGATATTTGGTCATCATCAATGTAATGTTTAGTGTCACTTCCTTCATGAATGTAAATCTATACAGTGATGATTTTGTGTTACTTCTTTTAACTTTTAGAGTTTATATGTACTGCTATGACTGCTGAAAGGGAAGGGCATGTTTTTTACTCTGTTCCAGGATAAAGGATACCTGGGTTGCATTATGTGGCTCACCTATTGTGTCATGAACATTGCATGCCCATCTGCACACTGGAGTGCACATCTGCCATTGAAACTGGGACAGTTATTTTTCAGAGTTCATACCAGCAGCCTGCTCACTCTATATAACCCTATCTAAGGGAGTCCTGGTGGTGCACAGCCACTGAAATAGCACCTCCAGCATCTTCTAGACCCCGTATCATTCTCATGCCAACAAATAACCTGCAGCCAATGAAGCAGCAAAGCAAGTTCAAGCAACATGTGGGCATTAGTGGCAGGGAGGTTGACTAGTAGTTTCCCTAGTCCATGTTAACAGCATTAATGAAGCAATGATGGAAAAACCAGTAACCTCAGATGTAGCACTGAGTAGTCCCAATCCCACCATTCTTTCCACTTCTTGATCAAACATGTATTGAAGTCAAAAGCCTCACTCAGCATTGCCTCATCACACATGATACAAGACACAAAAGCAGGCTTTCTGTGGAGAAGCCACAGCCCAGCACAAATCAGGTGCAGGGCATGATTAGAAAGTTATTAATGCTGTTAACAGAGCAGAAGCACATGCATCAAATAATCTGGCTGGGATAAAGCTTGTAGCAGGAGAGGGAACCCACCACCAGTCCTGTGGGTGTATTGAATGAAGGAGGTAGGGATGACATTTGGTCCCCGGCGAGGAAGCTCTAGGCAAAGTCATTCAAATCAACTCCTTGAGTAGAAAGATAAGGAAGATTCATGCTTTCATTGCCTGTGAGAAATACCACAGGCTTCCTTTCTAGATATGCCACTGTCCAACATGACTGCATACCTTTCTCAGCTTCAGTTTTCTCATCTGCAGAATAGGGAAAATTATGTGGATTCTGTTTGCAAACCGCATAGAGATCCATGGTGTGAAAGTGCTACTTAAGCACAAAAGAGTGTTTATTTTTAGGCTATTGATAGCTGTTACACATAAGTCAGATAGCTTCTGTGGCTTTTCCTTGTGCTGAAAGTTTGAGTGAAACTTCTGCCAGCCTCATCCTGAAGCCATGTGTGAGTTTCTTTATGCTCATGTTCCCAGAAGTAGCATCTCAATGCCTTGTCTCACCTTCCTGCTTTTCCCGAGACCTCCTGGCTGGAGCAGAGATGAAGCGGATAACTGGGAAGCAGGTTCTGAAAATGGGAGGAGTAAGAGATGTGTGCAAATTCTGGGAATCCACCTCAAACCTCTACCCCACCTCTTCCCACCACCTCCCAGGGCCCGCCCCCAGGTTCAGCCTGCTCCCTTAAACCCCTGCCACCCTGTGCTGGGTTGAACACTCAGCTGCTGACTGCACAACTGCACCCAGCAGTCAGCAGCGCCTGGTGGGACAGACATGATGGTGCTGAGATTAGGCAGCTGGGCTCCCCTGGGGCCTCTCCTCTCCCTGCTCTTTTCTACCACCATGGCGGTAAGTGAAGAGACAGTGTCAGAAAACACATCAGCACGGAAAGTGCTGTTGGAGAAAACTCACTGAAAATGGTCTTCTTTCTTCTCTTCAGTACATTGCTACCAGAGAAAACTGCTGCATATTAGACGAACGATTTGTAAGTACCTGGACAATTTTCTTTGATCGTAAAAGTCTAATTAAAGCTTTCCTATGCTGATTATTAACTAGCATTATCAGCTGTAGCTTTATTTGGTCTTCATTATTATCTTCCATACTAATTAAATGCACTGTGCTTAAACCCATTACCTACTAATAGAGGTGTATGCTTGGTAAAAATTTAGGGGAGGCTGCGCTGTTGACAAGAACCTATACCCAGAAGATGGTACAAGTCACAGCATGCACCATCTTCTTGCTATGTGTACATTGTATGTACACACAGTGTGAAAATAAATTGCCTCTGTGAATTCAAATACAACAGGCAAAGTGGCAACTGCCTGCCCTTTTTCATCCACAGTTGCTTATGGTGCCTGAAGATTCCCATGCCCAAATATTCTGCTCTCCTTTTTTATTCTCCTGAAACGTTGCTAATTATTATTCTTTCCTCTTTAGGGTAGCTACTGCCCAACAACCTGTGGCATTGCAGATTTCTTTAATAAATACCATCTCACTATGGATAGCGAACTGCAGGAAATGGAGAGAATGTTGCGGCAGATTACTAACTCTACAGGAACAACAGAGCATTTGATTCAACACATCCAAAGCCTCTATCCTCCAGAGAGGCAGACACTGCCAAGTGAGAACATAAAAATAACTACACAACTGAAAAACATAATTTACATCGTTTCCCTGTTTTTTTTTAATTTGCCTAGTTGCAATAACTGAATACCTTTTTTCTGTCTTGCAGGTTCAGTTGATGATTTCACTAAAAAGTCCAAGAAAATAATTGAAGAAATTATCAGATACGAAAACACAATTTTGTCTCATGAAAATATTATACAGTAGGTATCTTCCACCTTTTTTATCACTTGACAATCCAAATAATTTTCATTGTGTTCTTTTATCAAGTGCAGCTAAGGCTCCCTCAGAAAGGTTTTTTGTGTTCACATGGACCATCATGCCCACGCTGTCAATAGTAGCTACCTAGCAAGTCATAAAAATCATGAGGATCTGATATTGCATGATCTGCTTACCTGCATAAGCCATTAACTGCACTAGAATTGCAAGACAAGAATGTCATAAAGTATGGCAATAGTTTTATTCATGTTTTTTTTTGCTGTGCTAGCTACTCCTAAGTTTTTTTTTCATTACATTTGTAGGTTTTATTAATATGAGTTTGTGCTGTAGTGCAGAGTGTGTGGAATATTTGTACAAAAATTTGCTCTGGCTGATTTTGTGGCATCTATCCATAAAAATCAGCTCAGCTGCATTGATAGAAATCATAAGTATCTATAAGCTTAGTAGCAGTCTTTGAAAAATTGACAGTGAAAATAAAATTGAAAACATCATTAACCTTTCTAAATCTTCAGGATATGGTTTTTGACCTGAATGTAGAGAAATCTCTGCTTCTGTAAGATTATATCAAAGGCAATTTAGGCATTCTGATGCTTCCAGCAGTTTATTTACAGCATTTATGCTTTACAAATGCATCCATAAGTAACATCATTTACTGCAGGAGAACAAAGAAAACATTTCCACTGAGTTATATTCATACATTAACTCCTGTTTTGAGTTTTGCTGATTACAGTCAAGTCAAGTTTTGCATAAGATTAAGTGTGTCCTTTCCCAATTTAACTAATTTTCTCAACTTTAAATATCAGTGCTAATAGAGGCCTCTCCTTTTAAAGGGGTTTATGTAGCAGCATGCCACATAGGTGAGATATGCATGCAGGGAGACGTGAATTACAGATTTGGAAACAACTGAAACAACAAGCCCTTTTCATATCTTTCTCTGTGCAGACAGTTGACAGACACACATATACTGAACAGCAACAGGATCACACAGCTGAAAGAGAAGGTTGCCCAGCTTGAGTCGCTATGTCAGGAGCCATGCAAAGACACGGCTGAAATACAGGAGACAACTGGAAGAGGTGCACAAAATGCTTCTTGTATGGTGGAGGGTTAATTCAGTCACAAGTGTCACGGGGATGAGTTGTTTGTTATCTTATGGGCCATAGATTTCTGCAAAGACATGTAAGATTGCAAGTTATAAAATCTGTGCTTAGATCAATAGAAGTGCTAGGTAGATGCTCTGCAAACAAAGTGTTCAGATGGAAAGGAGGTCTCACTTGGTCCTTTGGCATTTTTGGCCAAAATATAGTTATCCAACTAAACATGAGGGACATGAGTAGAGTTTCCATGGACATAGGACAAACAGAAGAAACCCATTATCACATTTTTGCTGAGTCACCTGAAAAAAATGTTATTCCATTAGCTCTAAAAGTGCCTGTTCTGTTGCTTTAGAAGTTAATGTCATGACTGTATTTTACATTTCACTTGCTTAAACTCGATGTAAATTATGAGACTAAATTCATTCTCATCTTATGCAAGTCCTGTGACCTTCAGTAGGACTTTTCATGGCAATGACATTAAAGTATGTGGACTATATAGGTAACCTTGCAACAATGACTTTTAGATAAATTGCATTCCTTGAACTAAGTTACAATATCAAATAAATGTTAATATAGAGCTGTAGTGAGATTATTAATGATTCTTTGAATATCTTTACTACAGATTGTCAAGACATTGCAAATAAAGGTGCCAGAAAAAGTGGCCTTTACTTTATCAAGCCTCAAAAAGCCAAGCAGTCATTTCTAGTCTACTGTGAGATTGACTCATATGGCAACGGCTGGACAGTATTACAAAGGGTATGCTGCTTATGTGTTATTACCATGAGCAAGCTCATTGCATCAGTACTGGTTTTATTTACCTACATAAGATACATTTCTTTTTTATTGATTTTTTTGTGTGGTTGTTTTTTATTTCCCCAGAGACTGGATGGCAGTGAAGACTTCAAGAAAAATTGGGTTCAGTATAAGGAAGGATTCGGACATCTGTCTCCAGATGACACCACTGAATTCTGGCTGGGCAATGAAAAGATTCATTTAATAACTACACAGTCTGCTCTGCCATACACCTTACGAATAGAGCTGGAGGACTGGAGTGGCAAAAAAGGGTATTTGCTCATGATGCTTCTGGAAATGACAGCTTAAACTGCTCCCACTGCTGCGTCAGTTTGTATAGCTCTGAAAAAAATTGTGAACCTTTAGACCTGCTAACATGTATAGGACACTGCTTTGGCCCCTGAACTGACAGCTGTGACAGCAGTCACCATGTGTGACTTGTTGGCAGATACATATGCATGCCTGAAGACCACCTGTTGGCAGCCCTAGTTTGGCAGAAGGAATCTGTTTCTTCTCTTCAATTTTCTTCACATCTTAAACATTTTATGGACAGATGATCACTGTAGATCCCTTCCAACTTTTTCCTTTCCTTTCCTTTCCTTTCCTTTCCTTTCCTTTCCTTTCCTTTCCTTTCCTTTCCTTTCCTTTCCTTTCCTTTTACTCTCTTTCTTTTTCTTTCCTTTCCTTTCCTTTCCTTTCCTTTCCTTTCCTTTCCTTTCCTTTCCTTTCCTTTCCTTTCCTTTCCTTTCCTTTCCTTTCCTTTCCTTTCCTTTCCTTTCCTTTCCTTTCCTTTCCTTTCCTTTCCTTTCCTTTCCTTTCCTTTCCTTTCCTTTCCTTTCCTTTCCTTTCCTTTCCTTTCCTTTCCTTTCCTTTCCTTTCCCCCTTCCCTTCCCTTTCTCCCTGCTGTTTCTTGAGACATGCTCTCCTTCCTCCCACCAAGAGTTTCCTCATGACCTAAGTAAGCCTCTGCATTATGAATCTGGGAGATACACGTGTCTGTTCATATAATGTAGACCTTTCATACATCACTGAAGACTAGTAGCCAGAAAGTGTCTGATACTGGAGCACAGAGGTTGGTTGGATGTGTGTCATTGAACTGAGGCACACAGTTATGGAAAACCAATTCCTTTTCAGATGCTAGGATGCCATAAATGCCACTTCTGTGGTTCTAACACCTATATGTCTTTCATTTGTGCATGTACAGGGAAAGCAGCATGCTCATTTTCACCATTCTCCTCTGTTAACAGCACTGCTGACTATGCTGTATTCAAAGTGGGAAGTGAGGAAGACAAGTATCGACTGACTTATGCCTACTTTATTGGTGGTGAAGCTGGGGATGCCTTTGATGGCTTTAATTTTGGAGATGATCCAAGTGACAAATCCTTCACCTTTCATAATGGCATGCAGTTCAGTACCTATGATAATGACAATGATAAATATGCTGGCAACTGTGCTGAGCAAGATGGATCTGGATGGTGGATGAATAGATGTCATGCTGCCCACCTCAATGGCAAATACTATATAGGTAAAGTATCTTCTAAATACCTGTAACTCAGGAAACCACGTTTAAATGACAAAGAAAAATGGCTCACTTTCATTTGGTATGTTTTGCAATCTGGATTTCCCAAAGCTGGCATAGCCCGTTCTTTGCACTAACTGTTAGCACCAGCACGAGGAACTTAGAGGTGCTCTCCAGCCCAAAGTGACAGAATCAGTCCTGAGAGAAGCAACCCAGGGGGAGAAGGGCAGTGAACGGGGCCTGTTAGCATGCCTGGGGGTGCCACAGGTGTGTTAGTACCAGCAAAATGTATGAAACATTAACTCTTTCAGAAAACATCTGACTCGTTTGCTCCAACTGATACTTTTTAGATGGTGTGTACACATCGAAAGATGCTGGTCCAGATGGCTATGACAATGGCATTATCTGGGCAACCTGGCGTGACCGGTGGTACTCTATGAAGAAGACTGCAATGAAAATCATCCCGTTCAACAGACTGTCAGTCGATGGACAGCAGCACAGCTTAGGAAGCACCAAACAGGTTAGACTACAGGGCTGAGGAGATAGATAGTTAAAATGACAAAGGAACATAGTTGCCATCTCAAACACTGAGCATAGGCAGCTGAAATGTTAAGCCCACTGCAGCTTAGAAAAGTTGCATTTGTTTACCATATCGTTGTACAAATATTTATATTTTCATTTTAGCATACCTTCCACATTACTGTTGCTTTGAACAGATAGGTAAATGGATAGTCGCATGTTCAGAAATAATCTCTTGCTTTCATGTGTTTTAAATGCTACATTTTTAATTTCTAACTAGTGTAGCTATGTATGAACACTATTGGTATGTCATCACAGCCTTTTGTATTTCTTCCTTTAGAAGAACATTAAAATGCTTTCTTCTTTTCTGTTGTAGGTTGGAGACTCGTAAAAGGACAATTTTACAAAGACTGGTCTGAGCAGGAAAAACAAATCTTTCACCTCTTAGGCACCAAACTTGCCTAACATTACACAGTTCAGTTTTGACTATGAAACACCATTGACTGTAAAATGCCTAAGCCTCTTCCTTGAGAAGTGCTTGCCTCTGTACATGTTTATTTTTTTTTGTCTGCAAATTCTCAATAAATTTTTAATTATTACAAAACATCTGAACTTGTTATCTGTGCTCGAGTGTTGGCCAAACAAAACAAAGTAAACTTCATGATGGTTGGAAGGTTATGAAACCTCTTTCATTCAGTCAGTCATTAATTGCACACCAGTAGTTTCTGCTCTTTGTTTAGAGGCAAGTGATGGAGCTATTTATCCATGAAATATGGCTTGTCTCCAAAAGTTTTAATTCTGTTTTCTGATGAAATTGATTCATGAGACAGATCAAAGTACATAACAACTTGAAAGAGGCCTGGTTTACTGCTGGAGACTATTTAACTGAGCTTACCACAAAGTAATGAATACATTTTCAATCAGTATGTGTTAAAAAGTATACTATGGATGACCAAGAATAAGTATTTTACTCCAGAGCATAGATAATAACAAGTTTCTCAAATACTCAGAATAAAAGTTTAATTTGCTATTTAGCACATAGTATTACACTGTACAACCTTTATTCCTGAATACCCCTTTTTTTCATTTGTACTAGTTTATGTAGTGCCAGTATCTGACAAAGACATTTTAAAATTTGCAGCATAAATTCATTGCATTTTACTTGCATTTTGTTTTTACAGAGCTGGTAATAATTTTCCATGTGATCCACATAAGTAAACTTGCACCACAGATCAAGAACATCAAAGAGTTTGTGATGCCGTCTGAATGTACTCAGAATATCTGATGAATGTATCTGAGAGGTGCATTAGCAAATCAAGTTAGGCTTGTGGATAGATTGCTCAACAAAAAGTACATTCAGAACTAAAATGTATCTATATCTGTGTACCTATATATCTCTATCTACCCATCTCAAGCTTATATATTAAGAAGTGAAATATGAACTGTATCCTGGTCTTCAGTTTTAGCTACAAGTGAGGGGCCAGAAGTTCACCTGGTATTTCTGACTAGCACATTCAAATGCTTTATTTTAGTGACAAGGAGACAGTACACTAACAAGACAGATCTTTAAC